AGACTGGCCCCATCTTTACTGTCCTTCTGGAGGCAAGCCAAGACCTTTCCTTTCAGGCAGGCTTTTTCCCCCTCAGCTACCTAAGAGAGGGTTCCTAAAAATGGACCTGCTGTTTTTTTTAAAAAAAATTTCAAAAACAGTTTTGATATTGCTCATTTTAATATCAAAGCCACCTTGGGTCCTCTTGAAGAGCGTAAATAATTAAAATGAATAACTAATAGAAAAAGTATCACCTACCCCACCAACAAGGAGAATAGCGTTTAACACACAGTGAGACGCACACTACGAAAATTCTTGGGGATACTGAATGTGATACTTTTCTGCTGGCGGAATGGGCAAGGGGTAGGTAGAAAAGGGGGCAGAAAGAGGGGGGGCAGAGTTCAGCAGATCTAAACCTCTTCTAGTTCATGAGCACAAGCAGGATTAGGTCAGACTAAGTCTGAGAGGTAAGAGAAGTCTTTTCTACTCCTTACGGGCCAGGAGGAGGTGAATTTTCAGCACAATTTCAGCTACTTCAAGAGAGGGAGCCCAGCGAGTCTTTCTCATCTTGGCTAGTTAGAGCTATATTTCACATCGGTGCTGCTGGAGACCTGCTGAAGCTCACCGCGGTCGGAAATCCTTCAGTTCTACAGCTGGCCCCGGACATCTTGCCGCATGGCATAGCAGAGAAATTCTACACGGTATTTCTCTGCTTTCGAATTCTTGCTTCCTTTTACTTCCTCAGTCCCAAACATGTATTTTTTCTCTCTCTCTCTCTCCTTACAGGCAGAGTGCTCTTGTTTACTCATCCGTATCTTCTTATGATACTTTCTTGAGGCTGATAAAAGAGTATTGTGTCTACAGCGATAATACGGCTCCCTGCGCAGCTTCCGTGGATCACAGAAGCCTCAGGTTGTCAAGTCATCACGGCAATTTGCTTTTCAAATTAAATTTGCGCTGAACAAAATTCGAGATTTATTGATCTCCTTAATTAAATTTCCACTGCTACCGAGTTGATACAGACTGGTGGGGCTCCAGTGTACACAGAATTTCGAGAAGTATAAGTACACACGGACACAGACAGCGGGAGAGAGATAGACAGACAGACGTTCTGTTCTGTGCCATTCAGTATCTCTCGATTTATGGCAACTCTAACAGAATTGTACAGGTATGTGAGATGTTCAAGGTGTGGTTTACTCATGCTAACCCCAGATGTTCTTGGACTAAAACTCCCAGAAACCTTAACCATTAGCTGTGCTGGTCAGGATTTCTGAGATCTCACAGCTCCCTTGTACAGTTTATCTGGGGACTCAAGGTTGGGAATATATATATATATATATTTGGCTATATTTTTATCTACATCTTTATAAAGAGGGATGTTTTTATTTGCATACAATTACCGAAAGTACTTATAATTGAGACAATTGTAAACATTGTGTCCATTGTTGGCTACATACTCCTTATGTTATTTTACTGTTGATAAAAATGGCTGCAATTTACAGACTCATATTTACTTGATCTTTTAATTGAAGTGGAGCACAGCTGATGGGTAGATGCTTTGTTGTTGTTTCTGTCGTGCATTTTTTAAAAACACACACACATACCTTTTCTTGGAAGCCAAGTCTGGGTTGTACTGCATGAGGAAGATAGTATAACACAAATGGCACTGTGGGGGTGCCGTTTGTCACGTTGTGAAACATAGAAACCAAAAAAACAAACCAAGTAGCCAAGATACAAAACAGGTTTAGTATCCAGAGAAAGAGAGAATGCATGAACTCAATGTCTCCTCCAGACACTGAATCACAGCTCCCATCATAGGAACTGTTATCTTCTAAATCGCAGAGACGGATCTCTTAAACAAGAAGCGGTTCTGTAGCACTTTAAAAGGGCTACCAGCTCTCATGGGGCCAGCTGGAGAGCGAGAAAATTGTTGAATTTCCTCAGGTCTCCAGGTGGGGAGACGAATCTCAGGTTGAAGGATGCTGGAAGAGAAGTTCCTTTATATTTTGTGTAGCTGTTTTAATAAGTAACACTCTCAATAGTCCAGTGACTTAGGAATCTGAGTTTGATTTCTCATTATTCCTCCCGGAAGAGGAATCAGCCTGGGTAGCTTTGGGCCAGCTGCACAGTTCCAGGGTGTCCCCAAAGGAAGGGGGGAAGCAGCCAGCCCGTGTAGCCTTGGGCCGGCTGCATAATCCCAGAATCCCCTGAAGAAGGGAATGGATTGGCAAACTATGTCCAAGTACTCTGTACTGAGAAAACCCTGGAAAGGCTTGCTGTAAGTCAGAATTGACTTCGGAGCACATGATGATGATGATGATTGTTAGTGGCCTGGATGTCCATCTCCTGCCTACCCCAACTAACGCCTGGGCATACAGGTTTCATTTGACATATGCTTTCATGGAATGCAACCCACTTTTCTTTGCTTCTGAAGACACAGGCTGTGGTCCTCAAGGTAAAGGTTCCCTTTGACAATTCATTTAGTCATGTCCGACTCTAGGGGGCGGTGCTCATCTCTGTTTCCAATCCATAGAGCCAGCGTTTGTCCGAAAACAATCTTCCATGGTCACGTGGCCAGTGCGACTTAGACACGGAATGCTGTTACCTTCCCACCGAGGTGGTCCCTATTGATCTACTTGCATTTGCATGCTTTTGAACCGCTAGGTTGGCGGGAGCTGGGACAAGCGACGGGAACTCACTTCGTCCCATGGATTCGATCTTACGACTGTAGGTCTTCTGACCTTGCAGCACAGTGGCTTCTGTGGTTTAACCCACAGTGCCACCGCATCCCTCAAAAGTTTATGTAAAATGAAACTTGTCGAGTCAAACCTAAATCCCGCATCACCTTTTAAAAAATTATGAAAAAAAACTTTTACAAAGGTATGTAAAATTATGCAATTTTTAAACAAAAGAGTGTGAAATGCCGAATCAGTGATCAGCCAAAGAGATCTTTACTTTGTTGATATTTGTAGTCATTACAAATGCGAATGATGTGATTCCTTTCTTTTTGGAATTGACTTACTTATGCAATTTGACAAGATACTGACATGGTGGCAGGATGGTATCATCATGCTTGAACTTAAGTCCACCCCCAGCCCCACTTTGTTGTTGTCCTTTCTACAGAAAGTCTGTCATTCAAGCAGTTCTTTGTAAACCATATTATATCCCTAAAAATAACAGTGGGGGGGGTCTATTCTTAATCTTGCATCATCAGACTCAGTTGGACCATCTTATTCTTATTATTGAAAAATTCTCTCTGAAAATAGAAGAAACATTGGTTTTATCGCTAAATGGTTCTGGGGGTGGGGTGGGGAACCACATTACACTTCATCGTTGCTGTCCTTCTGAAAATGGGTCTTTCTTTTAAGGCAGTGACTGAAAGTCTAAGCGGGGTTTTAAAACTGGGATGATTAGTGTACTAATCTGTTTAAATAATGCCTTTATTTAATATTTTAAACAACATTTTAATATGACGTACATTTAATTCTTTTTTTAAAATATTTGAATAATTTATTGACTTTCATCTCTTTCCAGGGTGCAAGCCACCTTTTATGGAGAAAGGCAGGGTAGCGTGACTGAAAGTCTAAGCGGGGTTTTAAAACTGGGATGATTAGTGTACTAATCTGTTTAAATAATGCCTTTATTTAATATTTTAAACAACATTTTAATATGACGTACATTTAATTCTTTTTTTAAAATATTTGAATAATTTATTGACTTTCATCTCTTTCCAGGGTGCAAGCCACCTTTTATGGAGAAAGGCAGGGTAGCACTATTTTAAATGAATAAATAAAATAAAAAATAACATTAAATAAATAAATAAATAAATAAATAAATAAATAAATAAATAAATAAATAAATAAATAAATAAATAAATAAATAAATAAATAAATAAATAAAGTCAACCAGGTAAAGTCCTTATAAAAGTACAATAAAAGAGAGGAATATTTTAGTCAGGAACAGAGATGGGAAAACTATTTTTTTCGGGGGAGGGGGAGGACTAAGACTTCCAGAATAGCTCAGTCATCATGACCATTGGCTATGCTGGCTGAAGAATTTTTATAACTGTAATCCTTTAAAAGGTGATGTTGGCTCTCTCTGGTCTAGAATAGCAGTTAATCACATGGTCAAGAGTCTATGTTGTTCTTTCTAGAAGGAGGGAGAGGGAGATTTACTCACAGCATCACCATTCCATGGTAGATGCTTTATAAACCCATACCAGAGACACAATGAGTACCCAGCTCACTGGGGGGCAATGTGTAGCCTGCATAATTAAATTGTAAACCACCCAGAGAGTGCTTGAAGCACTATGGGGCGGTATATAAGCAACACGCTTTGCTTTTTGCTTTTACAAGAGCCAACTGTGAGTGCCAGACTTGATGCTATTAGAAGCGGAACCGCCTTCAAAGGCAAACGTTGCCTCTTCATCCTTGCTTTTTTCCACATGTTGCAGCCTTTGTGATTGGTCACAGGGAAGAAAGGTGCAAATCTGAAGGAGATTTGAAGGAATTATGTGCTGGGGGATAAATGTAGTGGAAGAAAATACTCATTTCTCTTAATATGTGATTTAACCCAAATTTAGCTCAGGATAAGCAAAGAGAAGACTCCCTAGAAAAGACCCTGATGTTGGGAAAGTGTGAGGGCAAGAGGAGAAGGGGACGACAGGGGACGAGATGGACGGACAGTGTCATTGAAACTAAAAACATGAATTTGACCAAACTCCTGGAATTAGTGGAAGACAGGAGGGCCTGGCGTGCTCTGGTCCGTGGGGTCATGAAGAATTGGACACGACTAAATGACTAAACAACAACAACAAAGCAAAGAAATGAAATTATGGCAATGAATATAACACGTTAGTCACTACATGTTTCTATTCAAGCCCCGTTGATGTGCATATCAGAAAGACTTCCTTGGTGTTGAAAACAAAGGAGAGGCAGGTGAGGTTTTGTGTGTGCATGTGTTGTAATGGAGGCATTATTGTTTTCTCAGTCACAAGAAATGTTCGAGTAGCTGGAGGGCACCCGGATTTCCACCGAGTGGTCCGCGTCGTAGGAGACGGAGAGGTGGAAGTCGGTCTCCAGCGTCACGTACCGGCCATCCCTGCCGACGGTCACGGAGCCGTTCACCATGGTCACAGGAAGCGTTCTCCACACGTGGTTCACCTACGGAGGAGGCAGAGGAAAAGGAACAAGATCTTCCCCGTAGGAGACAAACAGAAACTAGGGAAAACACTTCCCTTCTGTTTAATAAGGAAACGGGGAATTATCTCTCTTTTTTAATGGGTGAGAGAAAACCATTGAAAGTCAGGTTTTGAAGCAGAGCGGAGAACGTGTCGCGCCTTACCAGCACTTGGCCCCTCTCGCTTTTGAGGATTTCGACCCGTTGTCCGTAAACCTCCACAAGGACCCGCTGGACGTAGGAGACGGAGAGGATCCCATTGCGGTGCTCATTCTTGGCCTCGACATTGAACGGGGTCAGCCCTGCGGCGTTCTTCCTTTGGAGACTGCTGGGTGATTCACATTTAAGTACTTTTAAAAAAAAGAGACTCCACAGACTTGTCAGGAAAGAGAAGGAAAATGCACACGTAGTATGACATGTGCCTTTGTGCATGCTCACCTAGGCACACATATACTCATAAGCAGAATGAAAGCACACACAATGTAGGCATGTATATGGACACACAGGCACACAAGCATACACATACTCATAACAAGGTTTTGACTATCCTTGCAGTTTTCAAAGAGGTGTCTGCAGGTGTCTATTACAGCATGTATAGAAATGTTAAAAAAGAAACGGTAAAGCCTTACATTTAATCCAGTCTAAACTTGGTGGATTACAACCCACTTCCATAGACACAGGAAAATTGCTTTTGATCTATGAAAGCTGACAAAATAAATTTATTAGTTTTTAAAGGGCCACAATCTCTTTCCCTCTCTCCTTTCCCCTTTTAATCTTGCTAAATAATTTGTTATTGCTGTTTAGTCATTAAGTCATGTCCGACTCTTCGTGACCCCATGGACCAGAGCACGCCAGGCCCTCCTGTCTTCCACTGCCTCCCGGAGTTGGGTCAAAATCATGTTGGTCGCTTCAGTGACACTATCAATCCATCTCATCCTCTGTCGTCCCCTTCTCCTCTTACCTTCACACTTTCCCAACATAAAGGTCTTTTCCAAGGAGTCTTCTCTTTTCATGAGATGGCCAAAGTATTGGAGCCTCAGCTTCAGGATCTGTCCTCCCAGTGAGCACTCAGGGTTGGTTTCCTTCAAAATGGATAGGTTTGTTCTCCTTGCAGTCCAGGGGACTCTCAAGAGTCTCCTCCAGCACCACAATTCAAAAGCATCAATTCTTTGGTGGTCAGCCTTCTTTCCAAGGATGAAGACACTCTAAAGAAGGAGAGTTGTGTTTCACAATCTGCTTGCCATTAAAAGGAGTCGTGATGACACATCAGCTTATCAAGTCAGGTACAATCGCCCCAATGTGATTAGTATTTCTTAAGACCTGGGTAGCATCAACTGTTGTTTGGCTAGATAGCTCAGTGGTTTCAGTACTGGCTGGGGAGCCACAAGTTCAGAGTTCAGTTCCCCACTGGGCCTGTTTGACTCCATGATCCATAGGGTCCCTTCCATCTCTGCAGTTCTGAAATTATAATTATTCAAAGTTGTAGAGTGGAACAATAGAGAGAACTGGAGATTCAAATATTTGCACTTTATGGTAAAAGGAGTATTGCAGTTCTGAATGAACTGTTCCTCTCAGATATATACACAAAACAGGAACAAAGAAGAAGAAAAAAAAAGAGATTGATTTATTTTAAAATGACACTGGGGGAGATAAAGGTACGGAACGAGCTGTTAAACAAATTATAGACTGTGCTTGATGTTTCCCAGGGTTACACCATGAACAATGGAACAAGGCAGTGGTGTGTTTATTCTGTAGTTGTAGGTTTCAGAATGAGAAGGTGATTTGATTTGAAAACTTAGCAATGTGATACATCTTGTTTGTATGTTGCACCTGCAAGGTTGGGCCATGGTAAAGGAGGCTCAAAAAAGCAGAACAGAAAGCTCAGATGAGGAGGCAAGGCAGGGATTCCCGTGAGTGGGCAGCTGCTGGAGGAGGCAGAGAAGGAAAGTCTGTGCTCCTGCTGGAATGGAAGATTACGTGATGGGGAGAGAAGGAGAACATGCACTGGCAGATCAGTGGGGGAGCCAGTCGGGGATGGGGCGTGGGGAAAGTGAACACGTGGTACCTGTAGTGCCATGCTGATGACTTAGACAACACAACGTGAAGTGAAGTGCTTTTGTCTCCAGAAAGGTGTTTAGAACAATGATTCTAAATACAGTATTTCTCTAGCAAAGAATTCTAAGTACCTTACCAAATGACTGACTCCGAAATAGTTTAATGTGAAGTTAAAGTGGTATCAAATTGATATATGTAGTGCTGATACCGTGTGTAGTCATGAAATAAATAAGTCAGAAACAACCAGCCTCTTCTTGACTGACCATTCTCCTCTATGCAGGCTTTTTA